GGGGGGGGGGCGGGGGGCAAGTTCTAGGTGTCTCACTGACGAGGTAAACACCCAAAACTTACTGGGGAGAGGAGAACAGCACATGCCACATTTTAAAATTAAAGCGACAAAAATCCAGTGCAGTGGAAGAGATTCTTAACCAGAGCAAACCAAGGGAAACACAGGAAACAGGAATATTACTACTGTGGGATGTGACCAACCATGTTAGAATCAGGCTGAAATCCTTAGAGAGGACAAGGCTGGGTTGGCTCCTGATGCTTTGGGAGTCAGTTTGAAACTCCTAACTGTGGACCCTCTTGCTGTGCCAGCTGGAGGAGGAAGGAAGGGGGAACCAAAACTACTCAGCACATGTAACAACTATGGCCTTTGCAGACAACCTGGTATTATCAAGATCTTGGGAAGGGCTGCAGAAGAACATCAAAGTTGTGGGGGTCTTGTGATCTAGCAGGCCTTGAAACACAAGGGGAGAAGTGCTATGGCTTTTACATCGAGCCTACAAAGGACTCATACAATCAATGACCGTTCCCCATGGACTGTTAAAGGCACTCCCTCAATGTGGTCGAACCTGGGAGTTCTGAGAAATACCTGGGCCTACGTGTAGACCTGTGGATTGGAATATTAAAAACAGAATTACTGGACAAAGTGAAAGGGTGGTGACATCAGATCAGGAGATCTTTGAAGTTGTTTCAGAAAGTTGGTATCTTGAAGAGATATATATACTATTCCATGTCTGAACTATGTGGCAGAGCAGGCTGATGCAAGAGCTCCATACCTGGAAACATTCAACTTGACAGTAAGAGCAGCTGTCAAGGAATGGTTACATCTATCAGCAAGTACTTGTGATGCCTCCCTATATTCCAGCACTAAGAATGGAGGCTTAGGCCTTACCAGACTTTTTGGATTGATTCCCAGTGTGCAGGCCCAAAGACTATATAGAATTGCACAGTGTTCAGATGAAACAATAAAGGTGTGAAAGTATTGAGGAGGAGTGTGAACAGTTGTGGATTGTAGCAAGAGGAGATAAAAGAAAATTCCATCTATTTGGGACCCAAAAGTAGTTATGGTAATAACAGAACTAGGCAGAGAAGAACAAGTCTTTCCGAGACCCTGTTTTCACCCGAGACTGGTGAAAACAGGAATTTGTGAACCAGACCAAGCTGCTGTCCCAGGGCTGTGGACTTTCTGGCTTTGAGAAGGATAAAATCAATAACAACTGGATTAAATATTAGAGGCATTCCCCAACAAAAGCTCATCACTGTGTTATAACTAAGAGCTAATGTTTACCCCACGAGAGAATTCTTGGCTAGGAGAAGACAGGAAACACAAATTAAATCGTGTCAACATTGTGAAGTGGAGAATGAGACCTGCTCACACATCACTGAATACTGCCCTGCAGTACAAGATGCTGGAATCAAGAGACATAACCAACTACGTGAACTATTGGTGGAAAAGGCCAAAAAGAAAGGATGGGAATTATTTAAAGACAAACAGAAGACAAACAAAATTAATTATATAAGCTAGACTTGGTATTTGTCAAAGAGGAAAAAGCTCTGGTGGTAGATGTCACAAGTAGGTATGAAAGTAAATCAACGTCATCGGTGGAAGCAGCAGTGGAGAAAGTAAATATCAACATCTCAAAGATCAAGTACAAGACCTGACTAATGCTACCGTTATCAAATTTATGAGATTTCCTTTGTGTGCAGGTGGCAAACAAATAGTATCTGTGTAATTATGAATCGTTGGTGGAATTGGGACTCTCCCGCTCCCGACAGGACAAAGTTGAGTGTTGTCCATCATCAGTAGATATTGTACATAACTTTGTTAGTCAATTGCATACAGTTCTAAATCCTTACCTTGTATCTGTAGCTGTACTTTGTAATGAATTATTTCAATAAATTATTCTTCTGTATATCCCTTATCAGTAGGGTGGAACTAATCAGTCTCAGGATGAACCCGAGTGAGTTAGGCCCCAGGGAAAAGAGTAGGAGCACTGAAAAGAAACCACTGACAGTATGTAGGGATATAGGACTCAAAATAATGTGTCACTTACTCTGGTAAAAGGACATAAATTACTGATCTGGACAATCAATTACTGATTTGGACACAGGTGGATGGGCCACCTTTACTTAGAAAAGAAACATGTATAAATTATATATGTTTGATAAATAGCATCAGAAGCATGGGTAAAGGATTTTACATGAGGGATACATATGCCCTTTTAATCCCAGAACTCTTGATTTTCATTCATCTGGGAGAAATGGTAAAGTCCTCAGAACAACTGATTTCTCTGAAATCAGAACTTTCCTGGGGCCTGCATTAAAAGTTTCCTGTTCCACTCTTACAGTGAGAGATGCAAGGTGGGAGAGTAATTGCCTTGGCTCCAATCCTTCAAAGAAACAAACAACTTCAACACATCAAGTTCTTAATCTCCCATTGCTCCAAATATTCTTCTCTCCCTTGTCAGTGCCTGGTGATTCAAAACCAGTGATTAAAAGCAGGGTTAGAAGGAACTACTTTACATGTATGTCGCTCTTAGCTGCACAGACTCCATCAACCTTAAAAACTTTGAGAGGGAAAGAAGCCCCAAATCTTTACTGAGAAACATGGCCACAGATACATGGATTACTGTGATGGAGGAAGAAACCAACTTCCACCACTAACTGTGCTTCCCTGCACCCCAAGCCCAGAACTTTTTGTGCTGTTTGTCCCCAGCTGGGGAACTGTAAACTCATTCATTTCAGACCACATTTGCCATATTATGTGACATGAGCCACTCAGCTGGGGTAACCTGAGCAATTGCAGGGGCAGTACCCTCATGATCCTTCTGTAGGCAGCAGATCTGCGCAAGGTAACCTCCAGCTGGTGGGGTGAGGTCTTCACACAGCACAGCTGGATCTGAACCCAGACATCTGTCCACATCACAAGTCCTGCACATCTGCCAGCTGCAAATGCTGCCTAAGGGCAATCAAGTATTCGACACCTGTTTTCATTTTGTTGCCACCTAGACAAGGACACATATAAAACTCTGCTACCCAACCTGATAAATGGACCACTAGCACCTTCACTACACATCTACTCTCTGGAATAATCTGTGGAGATTATGGACAAACATGGTGGTTTTGGTGTGTCATGAAGACGCACTGTCTTCTTACAACACTTGAACTCAACCCTTGCCTCTAAGAAACATCCCTCTAAGATCTTGAAGGCAGAGGACTCTAACCTCACCTTTTAGGAAAAGATGACAGACAGCCCTTACCCCAAATGCTATGTATGATACAGCCCTTTATGCAAGAACATCCAGTGAGCACAAAGATTAGAACTTAAGTAGAAAGATTTCTGGGTATTGAAGACAATCAGTTATTTCTTTCTAAAACAAAGTTCGTGCCATTAAAAAAGGTGATTGAATTTAATAAATAGTCATTCTGAAATTATAAATAAGTTAAAAATTAATTTAAAATAAGCTAGTATTTTGAATAAATACATTTCAGTAAGTGCTTAAATACATACATGCTTTTTTTTTTTTTTAAAGTTTTCTCTTCAAGTTAGCTCGTGTTTTAAAGAAGCAAGTTCTATAATACTGCCATAAAATTTTGTGCCTTCAGGAAATAAAATATTGCTTTTCTTAGCCCTTTATTATTTGATTCAGTTCCCATCCACTTTGATGAGATGGGTCAGATCTACTCATTATTGCTTGTAAACCTGAGGAAAAAAGGAACGTTATCTTTAAGTAAGATGCTGCTTACTGGAGGCAGGTTCTCTGCCTGTACTTTCTAGAAAATCCATTTTGACTTTTGTGTCTCAGAGGGTTAAAAAAATCCAACACATTTCCTAATAGCATTCTGTCAGATCGGAAGAGGTTTTAGGTTTGACCTGGAACTGATTTCTGAAACATCCTATCTGTATAAAGATATTTACAGTTTGCTTCAAGTCCCTGCATCTGAAGTGCCCACTTTACTTTCCGATGTGTAATTGGTACTCTGGGCACTCAGAAAACTAGATTAGTTTTGCTACACATGAATAATCTAGTCCTACAGATCAAACAGATAAGGCAACATCAGTCTCCTCTACCACACGTAGGAAAAGGACTGACTGGAAAGAGCCCTTTTAAGTTGAGTAATACACGGATTCATGCAAACTGACATTCATCCAAACCCCACAATTTGTGAAAAAGACTACTGAGAAGCAGGCATCTGATATAATAAATCTGCCATTTGAATTCTAAGTTTTCATGTCTAAAGTAGCTCCCAGAAGCCTCTCTGTGTCCAAATAGCTGCTACCTGTGGTCACACGAACGACTGCCTCAAGGCTCAGCCCCTGTAGGCTCTTTGGTTTGGTGCACAGAGCAGCTCCGGGGGGGGGGGGGG